AACGTGTAAACTTCTTTTTCATCTTAATGTGAATTCTCATTTAAGATTTTGAAATTTATACTGAACAATTATAAGACAGAAGGAAAAACCAGTTTTCACGAGGAAGTACTGTATTTATATCGTATCTCAAAGAACCATTTCGTTATCGTATAATAATCAATTAAATAGAAATATCTTTTATTTTACATAGAATGTATAATTAATCCTTGAAATGATGTAATCATGGAATAACATATAAATTACGGATGATCAGACGAGCGGTCAGTTACAATACCATTCATATTACTTCAACATCAAGAAACGAAGTTATATCGATCATCAATAATATCGATCTTTCGATCCTTTCTTTCATTCGATACATAAATACGTACGCATATAATATTGGATTGTCTCCTTAATTCATGTAAGTATAGAGTGATTTAGTACGATTTATATAATATTCAAGTAAATATCATTATGAAAATGTTTAAACGTTGATCGTTCATTGGAATAATTTAACATATTTTATATCCTTTAGATAAGAAAGAAAGAAAGAAAAGAGAAGGAAGGAAATTTGAAATAAGTGAAATCTCGTCAAGGGATAAATATTTTTTTTCTTTTTCTTTTTCTTTTTTCTTTTTTGCTTCATTTTGTAAATCCCTGATGAAAAGAAGAATCGAAATGCGTTTTTACCTTACGATCATTTGTACGATCATGATGTGCATCATTTTTCCAATGATCACGGCTGGTGATAATGTCGTTAGAAATAATACCGTGGAACCACCAAAGACAACGCCATACCCTGATATAATTGTGGCACCGACAAGACGATGTCCACCTGGACAAAAACACGATTCCTACGGTAAATGTCGAATAATAATACAATGATAATTAACATTTTGTTCTTGTATTATTTTCTTTTTTCTTTTCTTTTTTTCAAATTCATTCACGAATAAAAATTTATATATATATATATATATATATATTAATATGTATATATATATATATGTGTGTGTATATATACATTAATAATAAATCGTTTCAAAAGAGAATAATTATTTTTTTCTAATCTCACACGATCTTACATATTATCTCAAAAAAAAAAAAAAAAAAAAAAAAAGCAATTATTAATTTTAATAACGTTGAACGTTCGATTATTAATAAAATAATTTATTTTAAATAAATGAATGATTAAAAATATGTAAAATATATTCATATAATTAAATATTTTTCTTTTTTTTTTCTTCAATCAAAACATACAAAATAAAATTCAGACTGATGCTTTTTGACTATCGATTAAGTAACGCATCGGATAATATCGAGAATCCAATCAAAGAATTAATAAAATTTATGTATGTGTGTGTATTCAGATACATATATACCGAGGACAAATATATATTATGTACGTGTTCGTTACGTTGTTATTAGATTTAACATGAAAATAAAAGATGAATTATTCAATACATTTTTTTTTTGTTTCTCTTTTTTTTTCGTTTTTGAAACAACTTTGATCCAGAGAAAGATAAGTATTTATTGTTACGTAAAATTTGATGATTTAATTGACGATGAAGAATCAAAAATTACAAAACGTAAAAGTAATGTTTCATTTTCTTTTTTTCTTTCTTCTTTTTTTTTCTTACATTTTTTTTTATCTTTTTTGTTTTTTTTTTTCTTATTTTTTTCCATGAAGTTGGTCAATTTGTTTTTTTTTTTTTTTTTTTTTTTTTTTGAATAATTTAATTAGCGCGTATATCTATCCAAATAAAATGTAAATAAAAATCGCAACTCAATTTTGTTCTATATTTTTATATATTTTTATACAATAATTTTTCGATCGTTCGAATATGAAGATTCATCAAAATTGTTCTGTTTTGAAAAAAAGAATTGAATAAAATATAATTGATTAATTTGAATTGGTCGTACATTAAGACCTTAAAGAATATATAATATATAAATTAGATTTGTCATGAAAACAAAGGATGAATAATTCAATACATTTCTCCTTGTTATTTCTTTAAGTATTTATTAAAAAGAGAAACCTGAAGAATGATACTTAATATCCAAACGTAAACGAAACAAACTTATGTGTGTGTGTGTGTGTGTGTGTGTGTGTATGCATGCCGAAGGAGAACTTCTTTTATGTATGTATATATTCGTTACATATTTGAAAATAAATGACGAATAATTCGATACATTTTTTTTTCTCGTTATCTTCTTGATTTCTTTTTCTTTTTTATTTTTTTTTTTTGCAGATTTGTCATTTTCAAAACGAGAAACATTTATCCTTAAAATTTCATGATTATTTATTTATTAAGACTATTTCGAAGATACGAAAATAAAAATTACGAGAGAAATAGAAAAAAAAAACAAAAAAAAAACATAAATATTTATTCACGATCGTTAAAATTCTACGTTTAATTTTATTCCGCCTATAGTCGTTTCTCTGAACGATTAGAAAATTGCATCTTTAAATGGTATTCTCAAATATAGTGGGGTAAAGTTGCTATAAAAGGATCCTGTTGGATGATACAACAGATAGATCTCTTCGAGGATTTGCCAAGTATTTATTAACGTTCAACGAATATGAAATCTTTAGTTCTTTATTTCGTCACAATTTTATTAGTAACGTCACCGTTTTTAACAATTGTTCATCCATTGGGTATCAAGGGTGGTGAATTACTTAATATATCGAATAATGGAACCTCAGTTAAGTTGCCTGAAATTGATTTGATTGAAGTAGGAAATTTACCAGGTGACTTATTCAAACGTAAGTTTAATTATAGATAAGAATTATATTAATTAAAATAAACACGATATTTATATTAATTGAATCACTCTCTTTCTCTCTCTTTTTCTCTTTCTCTGATGATATATTTTTATTGATAATGATAGTACCTCGTACGTTGATCGCTAGATCGAATACGAAGTATATTCTAATAATTAAAAAAGATACAAATTAATGGGGACTGTCATAATTAATTAGAATAAAATGAAAAATCGATCATTAATCCCTTAACTAATTGTAATCTCTGATTAAAAATATTGTAAATCAATCAAATGATTTTTTCGTTAATTCGTGGATATATTTTTTTCTTTATTTTTATCTTTCTTTTTTTTTCTAAAGTTTCGGCAAACATCATAACAAGGTAAGAAAAGAACACGTTTATCTCGTTCAAATTCTACGATCTAATTTTCTGAGAAACACACAAACACACACACACACACACACATATATATATATATACATATCTTCGAGAGATCATAAATTTGTTATATCATTTCTGATATAAAAATAAAAACATTTCTAGACAAATATTCAACGTGAATCCTTGTAAGTACCGGTATATTTGATCGGAGCCCGGTTCAAACTCCGTTTATTGTGAAGTAAATTTGTTCTTTTCATGGAAAATGTGTTTCTACTGTTTCGTGATTTTACGAAAGGGGAATAACCGCATTCAATGATTCATAAGAAACTTTCGTTACGTTCGATTTTGATGAATCTTGATAGAATTGATAAAACAATAAAATTGTTTATATTTTCTCGTCGAAAATAATATCTGATAGACTTTAATTGTATCGGCAAACTTTTTGATTTTAAATAAACCTTCTCCTTGTTAAAATTTCATCCGAAAGATTGTTATGATCATATAGATTATTCTTTTCTTTTCGTTGATTCTTTTGCCGTTCTTACTTTCCGCTTTTTCTTTTTTCTTCCTCTTCCTCTTTTTTTTTTTTTCTTTTTCCATGTGAATAATTAATATAATAAATAAAAGAAGAAGAAAAAGAAGAAAAAGAAGAAGAAAACGGGAAAAAGAAAAGTTAAAAATTGTCTGTCTTTCTACGTTTTACTATCGTCCAGCAATACGATATTAATTTTTGATAACTAGATCGATAAACCATAATTAGCCGTGTTAATACGTTAGCAATAGTTTGTACACAAGCACAGCTTTCACGTTTGAGCTTTCGAAATATTAATTCGTAACCGTATTTACTATTAATTAATCCCATTCATTCTCGAACGAAATCTTCGAAACTATGCCATTGAGGGATATTTAATGTCTATATTTTTGATTAATCTTTCGCTCACATTTCTATCGAACTTTTTCTTTGCTTCGGGGAGGGGGGTGGGGGAAACAAAGGAGAAAAAAATACAAATCAAAAAAAAAAAAAAAAAAAAGAAGAGGAACAATAATAGGATTTACAATGTTAATAAGTTACACGAAGATCCTTTTATATAAATATATATATATATATATATATATATATATATATATATATATGTATATTGAAAGTAATAAAAAAAAAAAAGAGAAAGAAAGGTGGTTCTAAAAAAAAATCTCCCATAGGAAATTACTTGGAAATGAACTAAAGGTTTTAGAGGTGTAAGAAGATGAAGAAGAAGATGAAGAAGATGAAGAAGAAGAAGAAGAAGAAGAAGAAAAAAGAAATTTGTAAACTAGAATTTGTTTTAAGAACATCCCACGCACGTCGGTCACTTCGTCGATCTCATACGTAAATACGTATATACACGTATGATAATAATTTCACGATACGCCATGGAGGATTAATTTACACGAAATGAATTCGTTTTAGATGGACAGGCATAAACTTGCCATCGTATTTTCTCTTGGGGGGTTTTAGTTGGAATTCGATATTGTACAGAATTGTTTGTCATATCGTGCGTATTCTGACATTGTTATTATTCCTATTGTTGTTATTATTGTTATCATCATCGTCGTTATCTTCATCATCGTTATTGTTTTTGTTATTGTTGTTTTTATTATCACTATTGTTATTACTATTGTCATTATTATTATTGTTGTTGTTGTTGTTGTTGTTATTGTTATATCGTTAACTTTTACTTCCGATCGTTAGAACGATATGTCCAACGTATCATGCATTAGTTTCTCTCATTCGTTCGTCGAGTAAATTATTAAATGAACAGGTAGGATTCCATTTCGACGTATTGATATCGGTATTTGTAATTAATTCGTTAGAGTATAAGTGAAAGAGAGAAGATGGAGAGAGAAAAAGACAGAGATAGAGAAAGAGAGATAGGGAAAAAGAGATAGAGATAAAGGCAAAAATGGAGAAAGAAAGACAGACAGAGAAAGATATCTATGTTATTGCAAATGACAGTTTACGAATGATTTTGCGAGATAATTTTTAATAAATATGTTTCGGTGACATCGTAAGAAGCAATTAGTTGGAAGAACGATAACGGAATATAAATGACGCGAGCTGCACGGAAATGGTAAAACATCTAATCGGTATTCCTCAATTTTGTATTTAATGCGAATATGTGTGTGTGTGTATATGTATATATATATATATGTGTGTGTGTGTGTGTGTGTGTGTGTGTGTGTGTGTGTGTGCATGCATGCGTAGATGCGTCTATGTATTTTGATACGTGATATTTCGAGTGGCATTTTAAAATTTTCGTTGAATATTCTACAAACGTTGATTATCGACCGACAAAACAGAGCTTCATTATCCAACGAAACGTGTAATTTACTATTAGTCGGTAGATGTAACGTCGTGACGTATACAACAAAAAAAAAGAAAAAAAAAAAAAAACTGAGGGGACGTGTAAACTTACAAGATCGTTAACTTTACAAGATTTATCCTACGGTTTGAAATTGAAGATCGAGTTTATATATGCCACGATATACTTTCTAGCTTATTGTCAAATCGAATTATAATTTTATTCAAGAAAGATAATATTTTTTTTTTAAATTATTATTATTATAATTAATATTAAATATTAAATTATTATTATTATTATTATTATTATTATTATTATTATTATTATTATTATTATTATAGTGCATTGTTATCTAAGAAAATTTATCAATTAGAAATCGTAATGTTTCACTTATCGTCGAAATAAAAATGAAATGTACGTCGTGTATATTGTTGTAATATTTTACTTTTCTTTTTTTTCTTCTTTGCAATCACAATATTGACGATTAATTAATATACCCGATACGATTGACAATCGATCCGTTCGTTCTATAAATTTGTAAAAGACTTTTTTCAATCGACATTATAAAAATTTATTTTTCATATAAATATAATTTATAAAATAATTCTAAATCAATATTATGCGATAAAGTGCATGCGCACGCGCGCGCGCGCGCGTGTATGTTCGGTATGTGTCTATTTTTTTTTTTTTATCGAGATCAAAAAAGATTGAAACAAAAACAAAAAAGAGAGAAAAAAAACAAAAAAAAAAAAAAAACAAAAAGAAGAACAAATAAAGAAAAAAAAAAAAAGACCAACATCGAGGAGTACTTCAAATCCTTGTCAATAAAAAAAAAATTAAAAATTGTGCTTATCTGTCTGATTAATACGTAACATATAATAATAATAATAATAATTAAAATAGTAATAATAATAATAATAATAATAATAATGATAACAACAATAATAATAATAACGTTAATCCTACAAACGTGATCACGTGCTTTACATTAACGAATAACTCCTGCAAATTACCGTGACAATACTTCTAACGAATAGTCCAATCGAACGAGTTCGTACTTGTGTATATTCTACTTATCGATATAGCGCTATTAAAATACGAAATCAATAGGACGCAATAAAATTCGTTTAGCATGCTAACCATGCTAGCAAGAGAAAGAGAGAGAAAGAGAGAGAGAGAGAGACAGAGCCAGAAATAGAGATAGAGATAGATAGATAGATAGATAGAGAGAGAGAGAGAGAGAGAGAGAGAGAGAGAGAGAGAGAGAGAGAGAGAGAAGCAACGAGTTTTATGTGGGAAATACAATACCGAAAGCGGTCATTCATTATTCGTCGACCATTTTCACATACTACAAAACATCACGTTTCAACTATTGCACGATATAATGTTAACGATCCTTTATGGAAATGCGAAAAATGCTAATTAGTCGAACATTCCTGATTAGTCCTGACACTTCGTTTCGTTTCACGTTGGACAACGTTAATCGTCGTAACGTTTGATGATAAAAGGAGAAATGATAAGGGATCGACGGATGGAAGGAAGATATGAGAAACGAGATAGATTTAACTAAGAGAGATCACTGTGTGAAATATTATAGAATGTTCGCAAAAATTTATAGAAAAATTTTGATTGCGTTATTATCACGATAGTTGATATATCGTAAATTGTATTAGATTATTAGAGTGATTGAAGAGAATTCAAAAATTGTGAAATATTATTATTATTGTTGTTGTTATTGTTGTTGTTGTTGTTGTTGTTGTTGTTGTTGTTGTTGTTGTTGTTGTTGTTGTTGTTGTTGTTGTTGTTGTTGTTGTTGTTATATATTTTTCAAAATTTTTATTATCCCTTTAACGAAGTTCTTCGTGTAAATAAATGGAAAGTGTAAAAAAATGGGAGAAAGTAGTACGTGTCGAGTACGTAGTCAGACTGATAAGAAGCTCCTTCATATAAACTTTCTTACTACTTTTCTTACTACTAAATCATTCTTGTAAATTGTTAATATATAAATATATGTATGTATATATGTATATATATCGTATAAATCCTTCACTGTTAATCCATCGATCTCTTCGACTTGAATAATTTGATTACACCATTCTACGTCTCAATAACACAATCGACGAGATAAGAATCAAAATTTTAATTCGGCTTGAAGAAAAATCACATAGTGTATACATATATATATATATATATATGTGTGTGTGTGTGTGTGTGTGTGTGTATACAAAAAACTTATTCTTCATTTCCACTCTTTCGCGTTCGTTTCGCATATACAATCACAAATTATATATGTTTCTTTTTAATTTTCCAATCACTATAGAAGCACAGGTATCCTGTGTGTAATAACGAAAGAAAGTAAAAAAAAAAAAAAGAAAGAAAAAGAAAAAGAAGTAGAAAAAAAATGAAGAAAAAAGAAACGACCAAATAAAGAACACCCTCAACGTGAAGTTCTTTCACAAAATTTATAAAAATGAAGCCACCAAGGTAGCGGAGGAGGAGGGGTAGGAACGACGAAATAAAAAAAAAAAAGAAAAAAAAAGAATAAATACAAAATAAAACAAAAAAGAAAAAAAAAGAAAAAAAAAAGAACAAAAAAAAACAAACAAAAAACAAAAAATAAAAAAATAATAACGAAAGAGGAAAAAAACAAAAAGGAAAAAGAAAATAATTTAATCCGGCGAATCCAATAACAGTCGGAGATCGTTTCGAGTTCGGAAAGACGAGTGACACTTTCGTTGAAGTGCACACCTTCGATGTTAGCTCTGACGATGCAACGAAGACTCGTCGTCGTCGTCGTCGTCGTCGTCGTCGTCGTCGTCGTCGTCGTAGTCGTCGTCGTAGTCTTCGTTGTCCTCGTCCTCGTCGAAAGGGGTGGGCCGCCCTTTCTAGCGACGCTTTCCACCCTCTACGAACAGCGCCGCCGCTACCACTACCACCACCACCACCACCATTACCACCACCACCACCACCACCACCACCACATCACCACCACCACCACCATCACTACCACCACTACTCTTCAACCATCTAGCCAGCCAGCCAGCCAGCCAGCCATCCAGCCATCCAGCCAGCCAGCCAGCCAGCCAGCCAGCCAGCTTCCTCCTGGTGTCCGCACGTATACCAGAGAGCGACTGCTGAGTTTCGTGGCTCCTTCGGTTCACTCAGTAGCGCCGGGTGTTTCGACGCGGCAAGAGCTTATAATTTGCCCTAGTGTTGCCCTACCATCCTCCATTTCTCCATCGAATTTTTACACGCCGTTTGTATATCCTACCACTTTTCCCCCACCACACCAATTAAACTCATCTCCCACCCACTCACCTATCCACCCCATTCACTCAACCATTCACCCACTCACTCAACCACTCAAACCACTTACCATCTCGCTCTTCAACATTTAATTTCATCGTAACTATTTTTTTCCCGATAACTTATTAAAATATAATATTAAGTGATATTATATTAGATACATCTTGAGGATTAATTATATACACACATATATATATATATTTATGTATATATATATATATATATGTTTATTGTAAATAAAGAAGATATCGGATATATCGATATCGTTATTTTATTGGACTTCTAGATCGAATGGATCTCGCGGGATAAGGGAGCCGCCCAGCCGCGAAAACGCGCAAAACCCTTCCTACCTTTAGCAACCTAGACGACCAACCCCACTCTCTCTCTCTCTCTCTCTCTCTCTCTTTCTCTCTCTCTTCACTCTACTCCGCTTGCGACTCCTCGACGCGCATGAAAACATCGGCGCGGCGCGTGCAATCTTTGTAGTTGACTGGGTGACAGCGTGTGCTTTGGATCCTACGGATAGTTTTCTTCGGAGGATTATATTGTTGTACTTCTTCCATTTCTTCTTCTTCTTCTTCTTCCTCCTCCTCCTCCTCCTCCTCCTCTTCCTCCTCCTCTTCCTTTTCTTCTTCTTCTTCTTCTTCTTTTTCTTCTTCTTCATATTATTATTTTTTTTATTATTATTATTATTATTATTATTATTATTATTATTATTATTATTATTATTATTATTATTATTATTATTATTATTCATCATTGTCATCATTTTAATGATTTTTTTTTCTTTTTACTTTCATTTTCATTTTCCTCCAGTTCTGATTTTGATATAATCGAAGGAACGTGGAGTTATGCCAGTGACGAGAGTGCCAACTGTCTTTCATCCTGACGGTGGTGGTAGTGATGTGAATGATGAGATAAATCATTCGAAGCTATCGTCGGACCAGTGTTACAAATCTGTACTCAATTGTGATACTACTATTGCTTCTGCTATTACTACTACTGTTACTAATAATATCGGTACCAGTGCTGCTGCTATTACTACTACTACTACTACTACTACTACTACTACTACTTCTTGTTCTCGTGCTATTGGTTGTGCTCAATCAAGAAAACGTAACGATTACGCATTTGTGACTTTTCTTCGGGTCAACATGAGAGCCGCTATCATCGGTGTTATCGGTGTCCTCGTTGTCCAGTTCGCTGGTACACTTGGTATATCCAGCAAAGGTGAGTAGTAAGAAGGTTACAATGTTTTTTTCTTCTCTCTTTTTTTTCTTCTTTTTGTTTTTTATTAATTGTTTTTTTTTTTTTTTTTTTTTTTCAAGAAATTGTCATTCGTTTATTAATATCGTGGATGAGTATGCATCGAAAGTTTTTGAAGATGTGATATCGTTTCTCACGTCGACGAAGAACCCGTGAGAATTATGTGTCATTTCTCATTCATATCATCGAAAGTTCTCAAGTGATATCGTCGATGATTAAAAAAAAAAAAGATTCATTAATAAAATTAATCATCGATAATAAGTTATGCGTAAAGTGATTAACAATTTTTTTCAACGTTACGTGATTTATAATCACGAAGAAGTGATGATGAAGATGATAACGATACGATCGTGATTTCGTTTATAAAGATCATTTAAGAAAGGTTTTTCTCGTTTTCCTCTTTTTTTTTTTTCTTTTTTTTTTATTTAAATTACGATGATTATCTTCGAGGGTGCGAAACGACGGGATAGGGAATCTATAATGTTTCGCAATGACGTCAATGAAACATCCGTAATAGGACTTCTCATAGGGGGATGGGTGGGAGGGAGAGGAAGGGAAAATTATCGAATGGATAGAAAAGAGTGCGACGGATTATACGTCGTTAATAGTTTTGATTTGAAAAGTGATTTTTCAGTGATTCTTTTTTCTTTTTTTTTTTTCTCGACTATTCGTAAATTCTCCTTAAACAAATGTAATTAATATTCCGATTACGACAACATTGTACGTGCAACGTGTTGATCGATTGGCAATTTCGTCGCCGTTGACACACGATTATTTATAAAGGAATAGAAACGAAACGATCGATCGCTAAGAAAATTATTCAACAATTTTTTTACGACACTTGTTACACGTGTGACGCAGTGACACGACTTTAAAAAAAAAAAAAAAAAAAAAAAGTTCTTCTTTTCGTGAACAAAATTTATCCAGCGAATTTTAACAGGTTCACTCAAAAACTATATAATCTCTGTTTCGATTTATATTTTCGATTCGAAAAAAACGTCGAACGATACGAAATCGTATAAATGTCTATAAGTGCGTACGAGGTTATAATCGTAACAAAAATAATTCCTCGAAGGAAGTTTATTTTATATTTTCAGCCTAATAAAAAAAGAAAAAAAAAGAAGAAAAAAAGAAAGAAAAAAAAAAAACTGGCTCGTTCCTCTCAGGCCTCTATCTGCCTGATATACTCTTTTAATGACACCAATGAAATATTATAATAAGATTTCTCGTGGGAAAATTAACAAGTGGATAGAAAATGTCTCACTTTACTTATCCTCAATCCCGTCCTCCTTCTATAGCCTCCTACTATCACTACCATCACACTAACATCATCCCACTTTTCCACTGTGCCAGTAGCATTTTGGACGAAGAAAAGTGAAGTTAAGAATAATGTGACGCCATTAAAATGGACGTGCCGAATGGGGGATCGTTAAAACTTAACGTGAGTTACAATAAGTTTTGTGGGAAAAACGATTAGAAATTTTCCGTGTGATTAATATTATGAAAATTATGAAATCATTTTTTGTATCATTAATCGAATCCTTCCTTTTCTTTTTTTTCTTTCTTTCTTTTTTCCTTTTTTTCTTTTTTTTTTTGTTTCGGGACGGAAATAGCGAACGGCGCTTTTTGTCTTTTTTTTTCTATTTTATTTTTTTTATCTTTTTTTTTTCCACGGTTTCCTTCCTTCATTCCTTTCCATAGGAAAAGAAATAAAAGACTTATGCATGATTCATCGTCATTCGAACAATATTAAAAGAGCAGTCGGTGATAACAGTAATGAGACATACGATTCTTTCTTTTCACACGAGAGCGTAGCTTTTAATAACGAATATCTACGATGAGAAACAAGAAAGGCAAAGATATCTTTCACGTTATCGTGATGAACGGAGTATCGATAGCTATCATAATTAGGCGAGTTCGCATATGACACGATCACGAACGTGTATCGTACGTCGAACTCGTTACTGTCTTTCAAGAACCGTTGATACGTGACGTATTTTTCCTGTTGAAATACATTTCTCTAAGGATAGAAAAAAGGAAAGAGAAAGGAAAGAAGAAAGAAAGAAAGAAAGAAAAAAAAAAAAAACAAAAAAAAATAAGGAAAGCAAAAGCACGATCTAAAATAACAAGAGAATATGATAACATTTATATTGAAAGATTATTACTATTATAAAAGAAAAAAAAAAAGGTAATCAGATTTTTATTTTCTCGCATCGTAAATAAATATTTTCATTAAATCCAATATTAAATCTAATCTTTATCTATAAAAGCTAAAATCATTCTTCAATTGTTCATTTAATATATTTATATGGAATAAATAATAATGGGATATCTAATCTTTGTTTCTATGTAATTTTCTTTCCTCTCTTTGTTTTTTTTTCTTTTTTTTTTAATAATACAACTTGTACTAATACAAGTACAATTAATCAATTGTTTACAAGTAATTTATACGGATACGAGTTTTATTAAAAAAAATTATACCGTACTAGAATTATTATAATTCTATTGATATAAGTTACATTGAGTGTAATACAATTTATATGTAACAAGCCGTCAACCTACGAATATGAACAACATGCTAAACTAATCAATCTTAATATAATAATAATAATTAATTTTCTATAATAGAAAAAACGAAATTTCTAATAAAAAAAAAAAAAAAGAGTAAAAAATCCCAAAATATTTATATGCGTATATATATATATATATATATATATATATATATATATATATTTCATGCAAATTTCAAGGTTATACATTATAGAAAGTTAACATAATCAATACCTATGTCTAAAAAAGCACAAACAAAAATCAAAAAAAAATCTTTATCATAAATATTTTTAAAAATATTTTAATATTTATCAACTCTCTCTCTCCCTCCCTCTCTCTCTCTCTCTCTCTCTCTCTCTCTCTCTCTCTCTCTAAATGTTATATTAAACTGATACGATTAAACATAATCGATAAACTGCAAAAATTTCTAACCAATTTATATATGCATATATATATATATACATATAAAACAGAACTGACATATGAGAATACGAAGATGGTCTCTTCTTTGATGAATATTCCCCGACGTATTATTGTAATACTACTTCATTGATATTCAGCAAGCACAAGCATTATAATAAATGTCTCTCTCTCCTTCCCTCTCTCTCTCTCTCTCTCTCTCTCTCTCTCTCTCTCTCTCTCTCTCTCTCTCTCTTAGTAATTCAAGTCAGTTATCACGTATATGAAGATTACAAACTCGGACGAGAGTTGATGATCCGGTTGAGCTTTCTAATCTAATAGCTGCGAGTTACAAATCGGTTGTTGTCACATTAGTATTAGAACTTGAAATACGTTATCATCATTCATAAAATAGACATTTTGCTACGTCAATTTTTAACACGTTAAATATCAAATGTTCAATATTCTATTAATTTTTTAATACAAATTTAATAACAAGCAAATTTATTTTTTCACTATAAATATGTTTAATGTCATATATACTCTCCCCTTTTAATAAAATCCATATTTCATTTCTCTTTGTCCATTCTTCATTACCTGTCAATTGTTTTTCTACTAAGGTTAAAAATATTTTAATAATTATTATACTTAATATTAATATATTTGATTTTATATACTCGTTTTTACATTATTAATCCTTTGTCTCGTTTTATTATCCTTCATTACGTGTCTTTCACTCGTATGAAATATATATTTTATTCACTTTCTCTATCCCCTTCTATCTCTCTCTCTCTCTCTCTCTCTCTCTCTCTCTCTCTCTCTCTGCCTCTTCTCACTTTCTCTCTCATCCTCTTATTATTTAAATTTATATCGGAAAATTAATTCGTCATCGAAACATTGTTCTTCTCCTCCTGTGAATTACGAATCAGCTGTTATCACATTAGAATATAAAATACATTTTCGTCGATGATAATAAAGACATCCCCAGTTCTATCAATTTTATTTATAAATAAAATATTTATTCGCTCACTCGTTAAGTAATAATGAGTCGATATATTTTAATTCATAATTTGATCATATGAATATCATTCGTTTTGCTCTACTCATTTTTATTCTTCTTATTTATTTACTAATTTTTTATTCATGTCAAAAAAGAAAAAAATTATATAAATTATTGTACTTAAATATTTATAAATATAATTTAATTAATCTTGTATACTCGTTTTCACATTATTCTTCATTACTTGTCTTTTTCTCATATGAAATATAAATTTTATTCAGTTTCTCTCTCTATCTCTCTCTCTCTCTCTCACACACATACACACACACACATATATATATTCTTATTATTCAAATTTATGTCTTATTATCAGAATTAACTAGTCATCGGAACATTGTTCCTTCCTCTTGTGAATAACGAATCAACTGTTATCACATTGGAATATAAAATACGTTTCCGTCGATGATAATAAAGACATTCTGTTTTATCAATTTTATTTATAAATAAGACATTTATTCACTAACTCGATATATAAGTCGATATTCACTAACTCGATATATAAGTCGATATATTTTAATTCATAATGTTGATCATATATGTAAATATATTTAATCACATAAACTCGTTTCACTTTACTAATTTTCTTACTTTTCTTACATATCTATTTATTTTTCTACTCGTGTGAAAAAAAAAATTATATATATATATATATATATATATATATATATATATATGAATTATTTTACTTAATATAAATATAGTTTAATTAATCTTGTATATATGTTTTCACATTACTCTTCATTACGTCAACGAAACATTGTACATTTTTTCATGTAAATTACGAATCAGCTTTTGTCATATATTATTTATCTATTTTTCTTACTCATGTCTTTGAAAAAAAAAAAAAAATATATATATATATATATATAATAATGTTTATATAAATATGTTTAATTAATTTATTAACATACAAGTACATTTAATTAATTCATAAACGTACAATATATTTAATTTA